AAGAGCTTTTATATACCAATTCAAGAAGGATCAGGTCTGTTCGTCATCATAGTAAAAAACGATGCTCAGTGGCAGAATTTCAGGCATTAAAAGTACCAGCCAGTCGGAATGTTAGCCCTTTAGAATAAGCTGTTTGGAGCAACCTGTAGGACCTAATTATTAAGTAAATCTAATTCATGCAGTAAAAAGAATACAAGATTTAATGAATGATGGTCTTATGTTCTGGTGTCAGTTGTTTCTCAGGTTCCATTTTACAGATCCTTAGCAAATGCCTGCCCACCCCAGATTTAAAGAAGTTCCTTTATCACCTCCCAAGTCTTCTTTAGAACTTCCCCTTCCACACCCTATCTCTGAAGCTGTTTTTCTTAGCTAAGTACTTGTAAATATTGGCTGAGATAACTGTGTAGTTCTACTTAATCTTGACATTCATGGTTTTTTTCTTTGCAGTTGCCAGTCAAATAAGTTTGGGTCAAGTAACTGTAGGACTGTTAATCAATGACAACACAGCCTGTTTCCTTTTGAATGGAATGATTGCACTGACAGGGGAGAATGTTCTCTGGAAGAATTTAATGCATGCCTGTGTCACAATGAACACTTTAGAAATAAAATCATCCTTACTAGGGGAGGAAAATGATGTAACTTCTCCAGCAAGATATCTGCAATAGATGTTAACTCCTTAATTTAAAACAGCTCACAATTCTAAATAAGATGGTTATTTTAAAGTGGTTTGTCTAATTGATAATAGAGAGGTTTATTCTAGAATACCTTTTTATTATGGCCCAAGACCAGCTGTCATTTATTTTTTCCCCAGAAGCAACATATTTAAAATGCAACAGAAAAATCATACTATATAATATCCCATTTATTTATTTATTTTAAAAAAAGATTATTGATGCACTTATATGGCTGCCCAACTCACCAACTATGTGACTTTGAATAACATAGAAAAAAAAACAAAAAAAAACAAAACCATAATTAATTAATACAAAATAACATTCCTCATTAAAACATCCTTAACAATGAAATGGCAATCCAAACCAAACACTTCTGCAACTCATCCATTTGCGGCTTCACTCAGATTTAAGGGAAATAACAAATATTCCATTTACAACAAAGTCTTCTACTGCCTTTGACTTAAACTCTCATATGCTTCTTTAAAGGAAACAGAACACTTTAGGGCGGGTATTTCTAAATCTCCAGTTCCAACTTCAAAGTTCCTTTGTCGCCACCAAAAGGGGGCCCTCATTTCTGCGAATTTGCTAACCAACTGGATGATATTGATGGCCATTTGTTGATAGTTTCGTAGATCTGGACCTCACTAATACAGCACAAAAGCATATTACAAATGAGAAGCAGGAGAAATCAAAATCCCAAAGTCTTCCCTGCTTGTTATGTCTAACTTGGTATTTGGTCATAATCTCCCTTTCTTAAAACACCGGTATTAAAACCTATGATGCAATCAGTGGTTCAAATGTATGCATCTGTCTTGCTGTTCAGTTTTCAATGAATGTGTCCACGTGAGGGAAAGAATGAATGAGGAGGGAAAGAGGAGATTTTGTCCACATATTTTTCACATAAAGGAACAGCATATGATCTGCCCACTGTGAATACATTTAATTCTGTCATCCTCCTCGCTTTGTAAATCTATTCCTTCAGACATTTGCTAGACAGGCACATGTATCAAGTGGGCAGCATTCCATTTTCACTTCTGTTTTGCTCATCTGATCCTTCTTCTTATCCTGCTAAAGACAGCGGTGGAAATTTTTTGAAAGCTAACAGTTTACCCCAATAATTTACTTTGTATTATTAGCCTAATGCTGAGATTTCCCGGTATTCATGCTACATGCTGTCTGGTCAAGCTCAATCTTCCACTGTTACTGCTTTTCATTCTGTAGGCCTCAGTGTGGCAGTAGAAGAACATAATGTGACTTTGTCACGTCAGGGAATGCTTTCAGATTTATCTCCACTTCAGTGAAAACATGTTTTAGAAAGCCTGCTTGAGATATTATGGCTGAATGCATGGACTGTGAACCAGGAAGTCCCAAGCAGACATCCCAAAGATCAGGAGGTCATGTTTGACAAGTCTATACCTCAGCCTCAGCTTTTCATTTGAAATGTCCAGTGGCCAGAATGACTTATGAACCTTCTGAGATGGATTGTGTGCAGCAACCTGTTTTAGAGCATTTAAGGAAAACATAAGCATGTCCTAAAGATGAGATTATCAGATATTAAGATACGTTCTGTTCTAGTGAGGGGAAATTTCGGGGCAGCCATTTTAAATTTCATTGTAGCTATATTTTTGGCTGGCCACCACATCTCTGCTGGTCCAGCTCCAACAGTACTTTCAGAAATGTAAGAACTCCTGAATGAAGCTTCTGTCATTTGTTGTTCTGGAATAACAGAAGCCCCAGGCATATATCCACAGGATATTTCTGATCACATTAGCAATGTCTCACATCCTGGGATGTAGGCAGTACAGAAAAAAGAATGCACCTTTGTCATGTGCCCTCATTAGAGGAGGAGGAAGAGGAAAAGAAGAAGAAGGAGGAAGAGGAGGAGGAGGAGTTTGCACTTATACAGTATATTGCAGAAAACAGTTGGACCAACTTTTAGGTTAAAGTGATAAAGTTGTCTCAACTTCACACATGAAAGAAAAAAGACACATATTTGTCCCATAGGAATAGTTGTCAGTTAGAATAAAAATCCATTTCAAATCCTTAATTTTTCTTTTGGTTTTTTTTTTTAGGTCCAATGAATATGTCTGAAAATGTTGTGCTTTGTTAACAAATTATTTGCAGAAGTCATTTTATGAGTGTCATACATCCTTAAGTAAAGTAATTTTCACTGCACTGAAGGAAACCTTCTATGCAAAGAGGAAGACCTTTTTTGGGTAATCTGATTCAATCCAGAATAGGCAAAGAAGAAAGATATTTTTTTTATGAGAGCTGTGCAAGGAATAAAATGACATGAAGCCATAAGCATGGAACAGTTGCAAAAACACGGGCACGGTGCAGAGAAATAAATAGGGAAATCATTTTCTTCCCCACTTATAAAACTGGAATCGGACTCGCTGAGGGAAAGAGTAAGAGGTTCAGGCTAAACAAAAGGGCATAAATCAACTATGAAATTCATATTGTACAATAAAGGGATCAGCCACAATTAAATGTCCTTACCTTAAAAGCAACTAGACTTCTCCTGGATTTTGTATTTAGCCACTGTGGAATAAATTGCTAGGGATGATTGATACCATCCATTATGTTTTCAAATACGTGGATCAGAGTCGCAAACTGGAATTGGGTCATGCAAATATTAGACCACAGGACTCCATTGTTCTTTTCATCAGCAGCAAAGGCCTTTAAGAAGCTATCGCAAACAGTTGTTATTTGTAATAGATGCTATAATTATTAATTGCATGTAAAAATGCCTGAAAACCAATACTCGCTTCAACATCAGGAAATGTTTATTGTACTACATTGATTACAAGATCTGTAAAAGATGGCTGCGGTTTAGCCTTTAATGCTATGTCGACTCTGTTACCAACAGATTTGAGAATACAACCTACTCAATAACATACATACAAACACACACAAACACACACAGAGAGAGAAAACCCAGTTTGTTTTTGTTCAGGGGAAAAAGAAAAAAGAAAAATTGCATTTTGACCTGTACAATATTTGAATATAAGTCCAGAGCATACTTTTAAAATGTTGCATTTAACAAAAGGACAACAACAAAAAGCCTAGAATGGCTATGGAAATTTGAAATACCTCTCTCCCTTTATAGACTGTCCCTTCTGTATCACTATTATTAGAAAACATTCCTGCGGTCTCAACTCCATTGCAGCAACACCGTGGTCTTCCTTGAAAATCAGTTACCAGGCCTGTTGGTAGTCCTGGATAAAAGCAATCTTGACATGGCCTAGGCCAGGGGTAGCAATCTTGGCTCTTTTATGACTGGTGGACTTCACTTCCAGAATTCCTGAGCCAGCTATGCTGGCTCAGGAATTCTAGGAGTTGAAATCCACGAGTCATAAAAGAGCCAAGGTTGACTACCCCTGACCTAGGAGCTTTATCCATATACCTAATCAAAAACATGTTTTTGTCAGTTCTACCACTGCAGACAGTAGAGTTTTCTACCATCTAATTTTTCTGCCATCTAAATTTAGTACCATCTACTTTTTCAAGCTTCATAGATCAAAACCATACTCAATCTTTTTGAAATCATTGCTTCCAAGTATATGCCCTGAACTGATTGACTATTTTGACTAATTCCAATCCATCCTTTTTAGTACTAGGCATGCTAACCATCTTGTCATGTGCCTGTTCTTAGGAAGCTTAAGAGTATAAAACTGTCATCCTCCAGATGTTGTTTACCCACAACTCCAAGCAGCCATATTCCACATGGGCAATGATGAGGGGTGATGGGTTCAGAAAAATCTGGGATGCCACAATTGCCGTGGCATTCATGGAAGAAATATCTAGAAATAAAGAATTTTTAAAAAGTATTAATTATATAGAGCAGGTACATGCCAAGATATCAAGAAGATTGATTCTCCATTTTTTATGTCCACAGTTTATGGATATCTAACAAGTACATTTTCTTTTTCGTTTTGCACCTGAGAATTCTGTTTCTTTCCCTACCTAACACATGAATAAAGACAGACTTTGTATCATAGGAATCATATAAATCATCCAGATGTCCTGTATTTTTTAGGATTATGTCATGCTTACATCACTTACTTGAACTTGAAACTGGACAGATGAGAAAAAGCTATAAGGATTGCAGAAGCATAATAATCACAAACATTATTTGTGAAATAATCTCCAATAATCATATGTGATGCCTATAGGACAATATGGACCAAATCTGAACAGGAAAGAACTTCACAAGGAAGTGTTGCATTAGATTTGGTTAAAAAAATTCCTTCTTCTCCAGGTTCAACATTCTTTTATACTTCTTTTCTATAAAATTTATAGTGTTCTTTTTCTTCTACCCAACAGCTGAAACCAGATGAAAGGGTCTTCAAGACAGAATATGGGCTTCTAATCCGTAGCTTGCAAAAGAAAGACACTGGGACCTATTACTGTAAAGCACAGGAACACACGTTTGTCCACACCATTGTGAAGTTAAACTTGAACGTCATCGAGAACGGACAGATGGAGAACAGTCACAGAGCGGAAGAAGAATCAAGCCGGACACGAGATCTGCAAGCTGAGTCCCGGCTAAGATACAAAGATTATCTCCAGTTGCTCAGCAGTCCCAGCTTCAGCCTGGATGAGTACTGTGAGCAGATGTGGCACCGGGAAAAGAAACGGCAGCGAAACAAAGGTGGCCCCAAATGGAAGCATGCTCAAGAGATTAAGAAGAAACGGAACCGGAGGCATCACCAGCCCTCATCTACATAGCTTCTAGGTTTTATTTAAAAGACACTTGTGCAAGGGAAAGTACTTTTTGGTGGTTCTTGTGGGCATCTCTCCAGCGACGTTGCTTCTCAAAGAGACCTGGCGGCGCATAATTACTAATGTATTTGAGATCTTTGGACAAATACACCAGTAATGGGGGGAAAGCCTTCAGGATTTGTATATTCTCCAATTCTGAAATGAGATAAAACAGTGATCTGAAAAGTTCCTTGATAAAGGATATCCAGTGGCCATTCTCTTGCTTCCCCAAGGTTGAACAAAAGGCCCATGGGACAATTGAACTATTAGGCTCAAGGAAACTAAAAAATATGTGTGGTTGTTAGACTGTGACATTTCTTCTAGACAGACACATCTTTGCTTCACTCAGCTGCACAGCCACAAATGTCCTGGCATGGATGGACAGGTGAGAAATGCCTTAGATGAGGCAGTGATGCCTTCGTATATAAAAAACAGTGTAATCTTAGCTTCACAGAAAGAAGATGAACATGAGTGGCAACCAGTTTAACAGCTGTCTATTGAAAAGATACATTGACACAGATTGGAACTGACGACTGAGAAGACAATTGAGCAGAAAGTTGGACTAGAAGACCTCCAAGGTCCCTTCCAACCCTATTATTCTATGTTCTCTTATCCAGGATGCAAGTGGGTGACCAGTGCAGAATTCCTTTGAGTAAGCAACAGGATTTCTGGCAACACCCATTTCCTTTGGAAGATACCATACTTTTTTGTCCCTCTTATCCACGTCTCACCCTGCCATTTTAATTCTTTTGCTGGTTTTCAGATGTTTCTTTGAAATGAAATCTAGTCCAATTAAGTCTACCAGCAAAAGGAGGGAAGCAGCATTGTTGATAAGATGGAGGAAAGCAGCCATTTCCTCAGTCTTCGTTCCGAGCACTTGAGTACGTTAGAAGCGGTAGCGCGCTGGCGGAATTTGTGTTTTATATTTTTACTAAAATAAAATGAAAACAAAGTCCATGTGTAAATAATGCGCACAAAAGAGATGGGCAGCTTCAATTTTTTTTTTTTTGTAAAATATTCTCTCTCTTTTTTAAAATTTTTAACTTTTCGCTGCTTAAATGATTTATATGTTTTTGCAAAGGGACTCCTTATTTTCAGTGGGTCTTACTCTCAAGCAGACAAATGGAACAAGTCAGCCGAAGTTACAAACCTGGTTTCATGGAAGCTGGTTTGTAGCATCAGCAATGAGGCCAAGGAGAGTCTGGTTTGGTGATTTTTTTCAGGCTGTTTTTGCACAAATGTTGTCGTCTTGACGCCGGTTCTCCATCTGTTGCCCTTACCTCACCTACACAGATGCACACTCTTCTACTTTTCATGCCTTTGTCAGTGTGAAATGACAAATTAGCCATTTTCCTTACATGGAGGAAGGTTTTGATTGATACCAAAAACAACAGGTTTTTCTTATTTCTCATGCATTCCCTTTCTTCTTGGGAGTAAAGTTTGTGGGAAATCCATGTAATTGGCATGGCACTCAATAAAGCAAAGACTGGTTTTGACTCCCAGCTCTGGAAAAATAGATGTTTCTTTATGTACTTGCTGCATTTGCGTGTGTAAATTTTTTTCTGGTTAACAATTGTGCGACCATTTTCTGCTTTTGAAGTTGGGTAAAGGGCTGCACCTTGAGGAGCAAAATACATCTGCTCGTGAGCTATCTTGCCTTACATTTATTCAAGTATCTAATAATTGAAGCATTGCCGGAGCCAAATTCCAAACTGACCAAAAATTGTTACTGAAATAAAATAGTGCTAAACTTTCCCATCAAGAGGGTCAACTATCCAACCCAATGCAATTTGGAACAGTAGGGATGGTTTTTATAAAACAGGAGATTTTATAAAACAACAGAAAAAGCATTGAGGTCAGATGAGGACTTAATTAAAATATGTTGGGGCTGGGTACATTCAAATAGCTCAGTGACTCCTGCCTAGCACAGTGAAACTCTCATGCAATTGCTATTTTAAAATAAGCCGAGGTTAACTGTTTCAGCATTGTTCATATATTGTGGTACCAGGTTACTGGGAGAAAAAAAATCAATGAATAAAATGAAACTGAAAGTAACTCGGGGGGGGGGGGCATCACAGGCTCCCTTCATTGCTTTAGCTTGGGGATATAAATAAAAAAAATTCTTAGTATAATTTTAACTCAATGGAATAAACACATTTTTAATAGTATATATAGCTCGGTTTTCTTTGACCCAAACTGTATGTGTCATTTTACGAAGAATGGATTTTTAAAGGCAATGAAAGCATGCATGCATTTATATTTAAGAGCTGGCCTAGACTAGATCACTCTAGCCCAGAGGTCTCCAACCCCCGGTCTGTGGACCAGTACTGGGCCACAGCATGCCAGCAACCGGGCTGCACAAACAAGCAAAGCCCCATCCACGGGATGCAGGCAGCACACAAAACCACGCCCCCTCTGGTCCGTGGAAAAACCTCTCTCCACATAACCGGTCCCTGGTGCCCTAAAGGTTGGGGACCTCTGCTCTAGCCTTCTTCTTAAAACTCTTGGACCAGCATACAGGTTTTTTGTGTTGCAAATCGCACTTGTTCTTGAATACACACAATCCATAAAAAATCGTGTTCCAGCCAACCCACCTTCCTTCAGTATATCTTTTTAGCTGTGGCTTGTTTGTTTGGGGGATCAAGAAGGGCTCTGTATATTAACTCTGTTAAATAATGAAGTATTTCCCACATTCAAAGCTCCAGCGTGTTTGTTGCTGCCTCAGACTGGAATTCTCTAACTATGAGCACAATTTCATGAAGATTATGTAGAACCCATGAACGTCTATTTGTAACTCAGCTTAAAGCAGGGGTCTTCAAACTTGGCCCTTTTATGTCTTGTGGACTTCAGCTCCCAGAATTCCTCAGCCAGGCATGCTTACCCTGGCTTAAAGGAAGCCTTTTTTATCCATTTATCCATTTATTTTATTTTATCCATTTATTTATTGGTGGGATTCAAATATGTGAACAACTGGTTCTCTGTGAGGATGCTTCTTCTGGAAGTCCATTCTGGGCCTGGGCAACAAAAAATTAGCTACTGGTCCTGCTGAAGTTGTGCAAACTGGCTGAATCCCACCACTGTTCTTATCCTTTATGGAGTAGCCCTCATGCGCTGAGGGATATCCAGTGGTCCTGCTATATTTGAAAGGTCCTGTGAAAAATGCAACCAGTGTTCCTTCCACACTTGAGTCTTGGAGCAATCCTGCAGCCTCTAAGTTACAACAACAACAACAACAACAACAACAACAACAACAATAATAATAATAATAATAATAATAATAATAGTAAAGTTGGAAGGGACCTTGAAGGTCATCTAGTCCAACCCCCTGCTCAGGCAGGAAACCCTATACCATTTCGGACAAATGGCTGTCCAGTCTCTTCTTAAAAACTTCCAGTGTTGGAGCATTCACCGCTTCTGGAGGCAGGTTGTTCCACTGGTTAATTGTTCTCAT